CATTCTGAAAAAGAAAAAGCTATAATGGACAGAGTAGCATATCCGTAGTGAACAGCAGAGCGGAGAGGTTCACTATATGAGGACATTTTGGGAGTGATAGAACTGGTCTCTTTGGTACTGTGGTAGACAGAGATGACTCCATGCATTTGTCAAAATCCATAGACCTAGACACCAAAAAGAGCGTTTCACAGTATGTAAATTAAAAGATGATTCTACTAAGATGCAAGGGGAACCCAAGATGGAAATAGAGCCAGACTATGACCAATGGCTCTCACTGCATCACTAATGAATGACATAACCACACTGAAGGGATCGGGTAAGAAAGTACCTGACTTAATAACTTAGGAAACATTTTTTGACTGGATGCTGTGAAGTTACACAGAAAAAGAAACGTACTCAAACACTATAGCCAAAAAATTAGTTCCTTGTAGAGTATGAGTTAGCAAGCCTGAAATGACTTTATATGTACACTAGGGTTGAAAATAGAAGTAAGTAGATTATAGGTAATAAGAGTCAGGTTCCTCATGTTTAAAGACATTGTAAATAGGCAAAAAGGTTCATTATGAATGAATCCTGTGGCTCTGGATCGAAGCTAGAGGAATCAGTATGAATGTGTGATTTGTTTATTTAATGTAAATATAGATAGAAATATAAATACAGAAATACAGATGTTTGTGGATACATGGTATATTACATTTATATATGTGATATCTATATATAATAGGCCATGTATATACATATATATGTATATATGTATGTGTACATATATATATAATAGAAATAATATATATTTCTATTTCTGTCCGAGAGAGCCCAGAAGCAGTGATAAAATCCAGTAAAAATAAGCATACCTACATGCCTAGGTCTTGAGCATTTGCTAATAAAAGAAACCAGGAATCCTTGGAGAAGTGATAGATTACAGGGTTGGGAAAATACAAGATGATCATGAAACTTCCTGGAGTGCCAGAAAGTCAAGAAACGTTAAAGGTTAAAAAAAAAGAAAAGAAAGAAAAAAGAAAAGAAAAGAAAAAGATGGATGGGTGTTTAAAGGACAGGAGAGGCAGCCTGAGGGAGTTTCCCTTGGCCAAAGAACCAACAGGTTTAGTAACAAAATAAATAAGAATAATATTAGATTATAACTCAGAGTAAAAGGAACTATTCATGAGTCCAAACTGACAAAAATACATACATTAAAAAATTAAAGGTGGGAAGGGGAAGCTCTCCTTTATAGAGCAATCCAGCAAAAAAAATATAAAAGGAATGAAGGAAATAGAAAATCACCATCAGTTCAGTAATAATTACTATAGGGAAGATCCACCATTGAATGCTGATATTAGTAGGCAAAAGTTTAAGGAAAAAATATATTTGCATAAACTCAAAGTACCTTCTCCAAAACACTTATTCACAAAGGGAAAAATTAATAACTTTACAGGGGAGAAACCTGGCAGACACCAACTTAACCTAATGATCAAAGTTAACATCATGATAAAGGGCATATCTATACCATGTGTGCCTTGCCACGATGCACTGAAAAGAGCACATCGCCTCTGTAGTATTTGTCTCCTAAATCCATAACCACATTCTTTTTTTTTTTGAGTTGGAGTCTCGCTCTGTCGCCCAGACTGGAGTGCAGTGGCCGCTCCCGGCCACCGCAGCCTCGCCTGCTGGGCTCCGGCGATCCTTCCGCCTCAGCCTTCCGAGTAGCCAGAATTACAGGCGCGTTCTACCACGCCCAGCTGATTTTTTCATTTATTGTAGAGATGAGGTCTCACTGCCCAGGCAGGTCTCGGACCTGCGGGCTCAGGCAATGCACTCACCTCAGCCTCCCAAAGGCGCGGATTACAGGCTGAGCCACCGAGCCCGGCATAACCACATTCTAATCATGAGGAAACATCAGCCAAAATCAAACTGAAGAATATGCTACAAGATATCTGACCAGTAGTCTTCAAAAGTGTTAAGGTGGTAAAAGACAAGGAAAGACTAAAAAACTGCCACAGACTGGAGGAGTCTAAGGAGGCATTGCAAAAGTCATATGACTTTTGCAATCCTGGACAGGATCCTGGAACATAAAAGGGACACTGGTGGAAAAACTGAAGTCTGAATAAAATGAGTTATGTAATTAATAGTACCCATGTGAGTTTCTCAGTTTTGGTAATTATGCTATGGCTATGTCAGATGTGAGCATTAGAGGAAGTTAGGCAAAAGATAAATGGGAATTCCTTTGCAACTCTTTTGTAAGTCTACAATTATTTCAAATGTAAAAATTAAAAGCAAAACCAAACAAACTACTCCTATAGGATGTGTGCAGCAGAAATGTAGTTCAGATGGTAAACAGAGCCCAATCTCAATAGTCTTTTGTTGACAAGCCCACTGTTGAAAGGATGGTGGCCAAGCTGGGAGAAAGCCAGAGAGAATTCTGGGAAAGATGGTCTGGAAGTGGCACCTGTTTTAAATCTACCTGCACCCACTTCCCTCACCCGCCTCACCCCTCCCAACTACTGAACAGGCACTGCGACAGGTTTTGCTTCCCTGGCCTTAGGAATGACTGTGGCTGTTAGAGGAGCCACTGCTCCCTGACACCAGCACAGAGCAGGCTCAGAACACCATGAGTGTTACAGGGTTGATTACTGGACCAAACCAGTCGAAAGAATAATAGAAGAATTTGGTCTTCTTTATTATCATTATTATTACTTTTGTTTGTTTATTTTTCATTGACAAATAAAATATATACTTTTGGTGTACAGTGTGATCTATAAATACACATGCATTGTGGAATGTGGAATGGTTAAATCAGGCTAATTAACATATCCTCACATACTTTTTTTGAGGTGAGGATATTTAAAATCCACCCTCTTAGCAATTTGCGAGAATACGGTTATTAACTAGAGTCACCATGCTGTTATTAACTAGAGTCACCATGCTGTACAATAGATCTCCAGAATTTATTTCTTCTAGTCTAACTAAAACTATGCACCCTTTGACCAACATTCCTCCATTCTCACCCCGCCCCTGCCTCCAATCCCTGGTAACTACCATTCTACTCTGCTTCTATGGGTTCAACTTTTTTAGATTCTGCATATAAGTGAAATCATGGGGTATTTTTCTTTCTGTGACAGGCTTGTTTCACTTAACATAATGCACTCCAGGTTCATCCATGTTGTTGAAACGGACAAAAATGTCTTCTTCTTTAAGGCTGTGTAGTATTCCATTGAGTTTATATACCATATTTTCTTTATCCCTGGGCTTTTAAAAAATGATTTTTGGACATTCAACAAGACATCAAAGGAGCATCAATGAAGATTTTTAAGGAGGACAGAATCATGCTTTATGAGAATATATGTTTTTAACTAAATGGTTAAGATCTAAAGAGATGGCTGACTGTACTTATTCATTATTTTACACAAAGCAGAACCCAACAGTGTTTTTATCCAATGAGATTACATATATAATATCTTGTTATCACAAATCCTAAATTAGTAGGCTTTGAATTAGCAAGGTATTATCTATTACCCACAGTTTGTGAAAAGACAGAATATACGTCACAAGTAATTTTTTGGTTCAATCCTGGAAATTTAACAAATTAAGTATGAATTTAAGACTTTTTCCCAGGATAAGGTAGACAGTTAAGTCAAAATCTTACAGGCATTATTATTTTTTATAGAACAATTTTTCTCCTCGCATTTCACAAAAAAACCCCAAGGGAACCCTGGTGCATCTCAATGGCAGTATAAGCACTGCTTTGGTTAATATTTAGGGAGATCAGCTGGGCTCGGTGGCTCAGCCTGTAATCTCGCGCTTTGAGAGGCTGAGGTGAGTGGATTGCCTAAGCCCGCGGGTTCGAGACGCGCCTGGGCAGCGAGACCTCATCTCTACAATAAATAAAAAATCAGCCGGGCGTGGTAGCGGGTGCCTATAATTCCAGCTACTCGAAAGGCCGAGGCGGAAGGATCACCGGAGCCCAGCAGGTTGAGGCTGCGGTGGCCGGAGCGGCCACTGCACTCCAGTCTGGGTGACAGAGTGAGACTCCAACTCCAAAAAAAAAAAAAAAAAAAAAAAAAGAATATTTAGGGAGATCTGTTCATGTCCATTTGTGGCTTCCTGTCAAGTCTGGGACTCTAAACTCAGGCACTGAACTATTTTAAAGATGTTTGTGATATATATTTGACTTTATTTTGTGTGTGTGTGTGTGTGTGTATGAAATGGGGTCTCGTTGTGTTGCCCAGGTCCAAACTGGACTCAAATTCCTGGGTTCAAGTGATCCTCCTACCTCAGCCTCCCAAGTAGCTGAGACTATTGATGAATACCATCATACCTGGCTCCTATACTTGACTTTTTAATAACAACTTTTAGTCTCAATTTTACAAATATCTGGAATGCTATATGGCTCTGGAAAGCTTTTAAAATTAAGGTAAAGTCAAGACAAGAGAAAATTTAGGTAAAGGAAAGTCCTTCTCTATAGTCTGAAAATGCCTAGAACGGTAGGTTTAAAGTCTCCAAGTAAAATGCAGGACTCAAGGAAGTTATTTCATACTCTTACTGTATCCTCCTGCCTTATTTCTTCTTGCTTTCGGTCCTAAACACTCAGATTATACTGCATGTTTCCACAAGTTCATTACTATAGAATAAAATCCAATGTAAAGAATAGCTACAATATACCCCCTTGAAACAATCATGAAACTTCAGGAAAAACACATCTGAATGTCTGAGTACAAAAAAAATTATATTTTGATATATATGAAATATATATTTCACAAAGGAGCTGAGATCTGAGCCAAGGGCAGAGCTGGAAATAGAGACTGAATAGAAGCTTATGTAAGCTCTGTGATATTGACAAATGAGATTGGATTCATATGACCTTTGTCAACAAAATGAATGTCTATGTAAAGCCACTGCCATCCTTGGGGTACAAAGCACTTCTCAAGAATTTCTATCCTGTGAATAAATCCAGTACACAGGTGAGAAGCTTGGGTTTCTTCTCCCAGATTTAGTCTCCGTTTTACCTTAATGTCTCTAATCCAGGACTGAACTTGTTCCAAGTTATCTTCATTGATTTCAGCAAGTTTTCCCCGCCAAGCTACTGCTTGACCATCAAACTTCACAAAATTGAATTTGCTTTTATATTTCAGCTGTTCCTGTAACAGATCATTATTATTTAACCATAAAATCACTCAAATGTAAACAAAGGTTAGGGCAGCTCACAGTTTGATAAACTTTAATCACCATGATACGTATTTTCAGATCATGAAGCTAAAAATTACACTCAATACAGAAAATGTTTTCCAGTATAGACATTTAAATAAAATGTGTACAGTTTGTATGTTAAGACCTTTACAAATGTATATATGTGCATATGAATATATATGTCACATACATGTATAAGTCAACATATAAAGTTATATTAACTATTGACTCTAATACTAACATTAATGGTATATCAAATAAACACACTAAATGCAATATGCTTAATGAAAAGAAATCTAAAACAATATCATTTCAGTCATCATCTTCTGGGTAAGACTTTTATTTGGTTACAGACTTATTCACTTGCCCATATTTCTCCAGTAAAGATTTGTCAAATTAAAAACTGCATTTTGTTAAGCAAAAAACAAAAACAAAAAACCCTGTATTTTGCATTTCTTACATGCTCCCCACAGTCATTTCTGTAGTTAATACTTACATCTATATTATGAATTCATGACAGTACTATGATACTCCTTTATATTTTGAAACTAGAAGTACAGAAACTTAAACAGCCTGCTTCAGGTCATCAAATTCAGACTCAGCACAAATACAATGAGAACTGAAAGCTCTTAAACATCAGCTTACACTCCTCCCATAGGCTAGTGCACACATCATCCCTAATAAATATTTGAAATTAAAATAAAAATGCCAAGATTAAGAGTATCTGGAGACCAATGGAGGTATGTGTATACCACAATTATCAGGATAGAGAAAATCTGAAACAATGAACATAGAAATCCCCTCAAGCTACCCATGTGTGATGGAAAGAACCCACTGGAGAAAGCATCTGCTTGCAAAGGAGAATTAATGAGTCTCTAACTGGCAAAAGAGAGGAGCTTTTCCTGAATTGGCTTTCTTATGAATTTTTTATGTCCCTGTTCACTGCTCATGACAACTACATACAGATAGATGAGGAGTGGTGGAGATGTATTTACGATACACAGATCCCCAAATGTGTAAACCTTGACAATTCCGTCCAACCTGTATGAACTGAATGATCTTGTCCTTCACAAAGTCCAGTTTGCTCTTCATTGAATGAGATGTATCGATGAGGACATAGACACCATCATTATGTACTTTTCCAAAGAGGATTTGACTCCCATCCTGTAGCCATTTAATCCTAGGCAGGAAATAGGTTAAAAGTGAATGGGTAGAGCCTGCAAGGAACAAGAGCATCTTCCTAGGAACTTAATGATGCATCTACAGAGGATAGAGCTGTGCTATATTAGTTAAACCCAATCTTCTGTGAGCGGATTATTTACTCTGAGGTTTTTCTGTTGAAAAGTCTACACTTAGACTGTCTCGCTTATCATCATCCTCCACTACCCATCATCAATCCAAGCAAAACAGAACTAAGAAAATGAACATGACAGAGAAAAGAAAAGAAAAGGTGCCAAAGAAAAAAATAAAAACTTGTAGTCATCTGATATTTTGAGGCCCTCCGCTATGACTTCAGACCATTTGTTCTTTTAGTCCTGCTGACAGCAGTCAAGCTAGTAAAGCCAGCACATTCCTGCAGCATTAATGAAGCTTATAGGCAGTACCAAGCACCCCAGAGTCCTGCAAAAACCAAGGGCCAGGTGGTTATGTGAGAAGAACTGCTCCTGGGGTTCTCATCACAGGTTCTCATCACAGGATTATTAAATTAAATTCACAACTACAGGCAAAGCCTGGAGGGTGTGGGTGGGGAAAGACGATAGAAAAAAATTTGAAATTGAGTTCAGGGTTCAGCAAGGCTTAGGCAACTAAAATTTGTAGGGCAAAATGCTGAAAGGGAGGTTATGGCACAGAAACAGGGAGAGAAAGAGAGTGAGAGCGAGAATGGACATGCTCCAGAGATCTCTGAAGGGTACCCTTGAAATTTTGGCTAAGTAATGATCAAGGCATGTGTGTAAAGAAACTATTGAAGCTGAGGGGCAAAAGCCACCAAAAAGGAGCAGGAGGATCAACCCCTCAGAGCGCACACAAGGCTGAGAGTGGTTGGTTCATCTACCATCAGGCACACCTCCTTAACAACATGAGGCATCAAGTAGAGTCCTCCAAGAGTATTATTGCCTTAGTAGTAGGACCAAATTAGCCCTGGCTAAAGGTTACCTTGGACATTTTCTAACATAACTTAAAACAAGTCCTAAAGAGAGCAAACTTATTTCAAGCAACTTAACTGTATCAAGAATATACATTAAAAATAAGAATAACAAAACCCAGCATCTAACAATGTAAAATTCAAAATGTCTGGCATCTAGTAAAAAATTACCAGGCATGCATAGAGCAAGGAAATATGATCCATAATCAAAAGAAAAATTGATCAGCCGGGAGTGGTGGCTCAGCCTGTAATCCCAGCACTTCGGGAGGCCGAGGCGAGTGAATTGCATGAACCTGTGGGTTCGAGACCAGCCAGGACAACTTGGCGAGACCTCGTCTCTATAATAAATAAAAAACTGGCTGGATGTGGTAGTGAGGGCCTGTAGTTCTGGCTACTTGGCAGGCTGAGGCAGAAGGATTGTCGGAGCCCAGAAGGTCAACCATGAGCATGCCACCACACTCCTGCCTGAGCTACAGAGTGAAACTCTGACTCAAAAAAAGAATTCTTTTTTTAACTTATAATTGACACATAATAACTGTACATATTTATAGGGTATAATATGATGTTTCAATGCATGTATACATAGTATTATGATCAAATAAGGGTAATTACTATATCCGTCACTTTAAATGTTTATAATTTACTTGTGAGAAAATTCAAAATCTGCTTTTCTAGTGGTCTTTAAATATACACCACATTGTGATTTGATATAGTCACCCTACTTCATAGTAGAACACCAGAACTTATTCTTCCTGTCTAACTGTAACTTTGTACCCATTGACCAACCTCCCCTGGCACCTCCATCCCTCCAACTCTAGTAACGCTAACCCTACTCTCAACTATGAAATCAGTTTTTTAAGATTCCACATATACATGAGACATATACGTGAGAGTCCATATGTACATGTGGTATTTGAAGAAAACATCAGTAAAACACTTCACGAACTCAAACTGGGTAAGGATTTTTTGAGTAAGACCTTAAAAGCATAGACAATAACAACTAAAATAGATAAAAGGCATTATCTCAAATGAAAAAGCTGCTGTACATCTCACCAACAAGGGTAACTGCACGATGAATATTTGTGTACCCAACCCTGAATTGTACTCCACAATTGCAAAATAAAAAAATTTAAAAGTTAAAAAAAAAGAAAAAGCTGCTCTGTAGCAAACAAAACAATCAATAAAGTGAAGAGAAAACCTACAGAATGGTAGGAAGTATTTACAAACTATGCCTGTTACAAGGGGTTAATGTCCAGAATATATAAGGAACTCAAACAAGTCAACAGCAAAAAACCCCCCAAATAATATCACTTAAAAATGGGCAAAACCCCTAAATAGACATTTCTCAAAAGAAGACATACAATTGGCTAATAGATACATTTTTAAATGCTCAACACCATTAATCATCAGAGAAATGCAGATCAAAACCATGAGACATCACGTCACTCCAGTTAGAATGGCTATTATCAAAAGACAGAAAAAAGAAAAAAAAAAAAGCCTGGGCCAGACTCGGTGGCTCAACCTGTAATTCCAGCACTTTGGGAGGTCGAGGCGAGACCTCCTCTCTACAATAAATCAAAAAGTAATTTAGTTGGGTGTGCACACACTGTCGTTCTAGCTACTTGGAAGGCTGAGGCAGAAGGATCGCCAGAGCCCAGCAGGTCAACGCTGGGGTGGCCGAGAGCATGCCACTGCATTACAGTCTGGGTGAGGGAGTGAGACTACGACTCAAAAAGAAAAAAAAAATCGTCGGGTGCAGTGGCTCATGCCTATAATTCCAGCACTTGGGGAGCCAAGGTGGAAGAACTGTTCGAACCCAGGAGTTAGAGGCCAGCCTAGGAAACATAGCAAGGTGGAAGGATCGCCTGAGCCTAGGAAGTCACGGCTGCAGTGAACTGTGATGTTGCCACTGCACTCCAGCCTGGGCAATAGAGTGAGAACCCAACTCAAAAAAAGAGAGAGAGACAAAAAATAACAAAAGCTAGCAAGGATGCAGAGAAAAGTAAATTTTCATACACTGTTGGTAGGGATGCAAATTAGTACAGTTTGGAAATTCCTCAAAAAATTAAAAATAGAACTACCATATGATCCAGCAATCCCATTACTGGGTTTATATGCAAAGAAAATGAAATCATTATGCTGAAGAGATATCTGCACATCCATGCTCATTGCAGCACTATTTACAATAGCAAAAATATGGAATAAACCTAAATGCCCAAATAATGATGAATAGATAAGGAACATGCCAGCCTTAATTCAGAATGAAATCCTGTCATTTGCAGCAACATGGGTGATCCCAGAAGTCATTATGTTAAGTGAAATAAGCAAGGCAGAGAAAGGCGTTCTCATTTTCAAATGATTATTGCAGACTGATACCGTACTGGTTTAAGCTCATTAGATTTAGTATCTGGTTTAATCCATAGAACAAATTTATAACTGGCATTAGTATTCCCACTTTATAAATGAGGAAGGAGGTACATAAAGACATTAATGAACTTGCCCAGGGTCACACAGCAAGCAGCAGAGCTAGGATTCAAACCCAGCTATTTCAAACCTCAGAGCCCATGCACCAAAATGAATTTGGTCTAAAATTGTCCACTGGCATCTGGGACATGAAAGCATGAGGGTAGATCATTCCCATGAGGCTGACCCTGAGGTCACACCATTAGTATACGATACTCACGAGCATTACCAGATTTTAAGGGCCCAGTAGGGTTGAAAGGGATCACGTGATCCCTTTCATTATTTTAAGCTTATTTCTAAAACACATCTATTATTCAATTGTATTCAAATATCTCACAACATTATAGCAGTTGCCTTGAAGTGTAATATTCAAGAGTACAGAGGACATTATACTGTGTACAATACACCCGCAGTACACAAAAAATGCAAGACATAAGCAGAAGCAATTCTTAACCTCCTCCAGTGATATATAACCAATGTGATAGCTACACATTTCTTTGTTGTTTTCAATGATTTTCACTGGTATGAAGATAGCTTGGAGTCTGAGCTCCAACATTCCCCTTGTTAACAAGGCTATCGGCAAACCATCAGATGGCAACCTTGACTTGACAGTGTTTACTGGCCATTTCTCTTGGTTGAGCTTTTACTTTTATATGATGGAATACTTTATTCAGCCATAAAGAAGAATAAAATCCTGTCATTTGTGACAACATGGATGAGTCGGGAGGACATCGTGTTAAGGAAAATAAGTCAGGCACAGAAAGCCAAATATCACATGTTCTCACTCATGTGGGGGCTAAAGAAATATTTTTAACTCATAGAAGTAGAGAGTAGAAGTATGGATATTAGAGATTTCAAAGGGAAGCAGAGAGGGAAGAATGGGAAGAGGCTAGTTAATGGATACAAAATTACAGCTAGATAGGAGGAATGAGTTCTGGTGTTCTATAGCACTGTAGGATAAATGTGGTCAACTATAATTTATTGCACATTTTCAAAAAGCTAGAAGAAAGAATTTTGAATGATCACAATGTTAAAAATGTTTGAGGCGATAGGTATGCTAATTACCTGATTTGATCATTATACATTGCATACACGTATCAAAATTTCACTCTGCATCCCACAAACAGGTACAATTATTACGTGTCAATTAAAAATAAAAGGAGGAAAAAGGGATCAAACAGGTTTGAATTTCAAGAGGGACTAGACCACTTATACCTTCCTGCAAATACACCAACCTCCTTTGGATCTGGGCCAGGACCATGTGAATTTTCTCGCTGTACCACCTGTATTTCTCCTTGGTAATGTTGACATGGACCAAGCTCCCATCCTTCCAGGGAGCATGGACAAACCTGCTGCAATATTTTGCATGGACTGTCTTCTTGCTGGTCTCCTAAGGAAAGGACAAAGGACAGAGCCATTCAGAAACCATTTAAGGGAAAGAATCTACAGATGGCACCTTCATCTCTTAGCGCTTAGTAGCATTGTAAATCATTCAATCATTAGTTCAACTGAACATATTTGGGGGCCTCTCCATATGGAGCTCTGTCGTAGGCGTCATGCACAAGGGTCAGAAAGACATGTGTGATCGCATCTGTGCCACAGAAAAGCTAATGATTCCAGCCAGTAGGGAGACACTAAACACGTGCATACACACACAC